TTTTTATGCTCTGGAAATACAAAGTGCGCAATAATATTTTTGGAAGTTGGAATTATGGTGAATTCAGACAAGGATATCTTGGATTATATTATTGTGATTAATTGGAAGACTGTAAGCACATCATAAATCTTTATTAGTATCTTCAAGACTAAAAGCACATCAACATCATCAGCACTGGATAATATTTTGAACAACAATGGAATTTAATTAGAACTTTAGGACTGGTGATATAATTTTTTGGACTATTTAGAATTTAGTTTGCATTACTGTAAGGTCTTCTTAAATTTTCACTTTGTATTCTTTCTATTAGTTTCAGACCATAGGGGTCAAAATAGATGTCATCCCTGTTGCACATTGGGAAAACTCATGGTTGGGTGTAATTGTGCAATTTAATGGCCAAATATTTTTTTTTTATAATCATGTTTTGGAATAATTGTTAGAAAAGAACTATTCCTGATTATGTTGCTTGCTTTTTTGTTTAAATTACCATTTTTTTCAAGATACCTTAAATTTGAAAGATCAATAACAGCATTTTCCAAGAGGTTTCAACAAACACTACTTGTGTATCTCACTGCTTCTTGTTGTTATTCATTCACAGGATTTCTTTTTTCACAAGCATGGGGCATTTTTTTATCAAACAACCATCAACATTTTTTTTTGTGGATTCTTTTGTGGGAGGACACTAACCATGTAGACCACTGTTGTGATCAGTTATTGAGGGAGTGGTGGTGGTGGTGTGTGTGTGTGTGTGTGTGTGTGTTTGTGTTTGTATGTGCAAGAAACATACATAAATGGGTGGGTAACAATGTGTAATGTACTGGTCCATGTATATGACAATGGACATATATGTAGTAAACAGTTTATACTGACATGATTACTTTCAGAACAACATACATTTATATAAATACCTTTTATGATGAAAAAAAAAACAAGTTTTAACATTCAATGAAAGTGTCAACGTGCATGTACATGTACCAACCAGTGAACAATATCAGCCATTTTTATGTGAAAATGCCTTTGTTCAGTAACTTAATGAGTAGTTAATTAGTCCTGTATTTATTTAGATGGAAAGAAATTGTCCATTGTTATTTGTTTTGTTTTTTTAATGACATTTTTTATTGATATGCTTTTCATTGACATGCTGATGATTATAAAGAGCAATAGGTATGTCATGTACAACAGCTGGTACTGAATGTTTGTCTTCAACATTTCTAATACCAGAAACAATTGTTCCATCCTGGCAGTCACTAATTTCACGAACAATATTCTTAATTGTTGATATCACAGATGCCAATGTAACTATCAGAATTAATATAATCCAAGATATCAACATCTTCATTACCAGACCCAAGTAGGCATATCACACAATGCACCATAGCATGGGGAACATAGCAGCATCAGCAAAACTGTCACTGATAATGACATCTATTTGCCCTACTTTAACAAAATAGTTTGTAACACAATCTGTGGAAACATCACTCCATATATGAAAGATCATTTTGATTGCAGTCAATACATTTAGTTCACACTCAATTTTCATGAATGCCCTTCATCTATTCTTCATAATTATCTGTAATTTTATATCTAAATACAAATGTTTTCTTTTTTTGGCAAACAAATTTTCAGCCACTTTAACAACAGCCTAAAATCTAAATGAACTCAATTAATATTGTATTCAGCTTTAATGTAGAATTAAATGATGGCTCTAGAATATTTCTTGTGATTTAGTCACAAGCATACAAAAAAAATATTACTTTCTGCTTTACTCACACTGAATTAGCAACATGTGATCCTAAAATACCAAATATGAATCAGGTGTGCTTATGCTTTTGATACCTGGTGCCTCTGTTTTTATTATTTACTAGTTATTAATGATGAGTGATTGTCACAATTTTGTTATACAGTTGATTAGTTATTATATCTTTCTTATTTAAACTACTGCCATTGTTTATCTGGCTTTGGCATGTCAGGTGATAAATACATTATAAATTAGCTCCTTTTCTAATGTGGAGCACACAAATCAAATGCTGTAAACCTTTTAACATGGTTACTGAGGAACAGTTAAGCAAACACTTTGGAATGCATAGTAATAATATATTTGACTGGAAATGAATCTCAGATGCTTTAACTGAGAAAACTGTTTTACCAAGAACATAAACAATTCTTACCGCAAATATATATATGCATATATATATATATATATATATATATATATATATATATATATATATATATATATATATATATATATATATATATATATATATAGGTATACATAACTTACCTATATATATATATATATAGGTATACATAACTTAAGTGTCAGTGAACATACTACACATTTGTTTGGTGCTAACTGCATATGGCTGGTATATTTGACTGGATTCCTATATATGAGTGAGTATGTACAGCATGGGTCTCAAACATGTGGCCCACAGGCCATATAAGGCCAGCCAAGCCATATCATATGGTCCACAAAATGATTGGCGTCGAAAGGTATCATGAGAGATAACAAAGGTGGTGCTGCCCTTGAGCCATCAAAAATACCCTCATGCAGCCATCAGGGTGATTTTGAATTTGAGACCCCTGGTCTACAAGAAAGGAATGAAGTGAATATATGGTTGTATATGCATGCCGATATATATATATATATATATATATATATATATATATATATATATATATATATATATGATTGCATGTGTGTTACTTTATATAATTGCTTCAATTTAGGTTAGTATTTCAAATAAATGTGTCTTTATTATTAAGAAAATGTACTTTCCAGACTGCATCCTGGACCAGTTTCCTGATCTGGGTGTGTCAGGTGGCACTGGGAATCTTGAGGTTAGTTCGAAATAGACGACTGAGATCACAGAACATGAGCTTCTCTGATAAGGATACTAAACCCATTGCTACAGTGGAACCAGCAGATTAATCAAGCATCAGACTGATCAGTCATCAGATTATTCAGTCATCAGACTAATCAGTCATCAGATTAAACAGTCATCAGACTAATCTGTCATATTAATCTGTCATCAGACTAATCAGTCATCAGATTAATCAGTCATCATGACATTATTTTTTACTTAAGATAAACATGTTATCTAATTAAAGTCACATAATTGGAATCTAGTATTTGACCAGTGTCTCTTATGTTGAATATTCTCATTTATAAAGAGTATTTTGTTTGCATATATTTTTAAATTTGTATATGGACCTATCATCACAGAATATGGTAATTATGTTTATGAAATTAACAGAATATCTTTAAAACAGTAATTATGGGATATAGAAGTTGAAAATATGGTAACAGTTAAAAATGGTGACAATTCCTGGCCATGGAATGTAATTTTTGGCCACAAAGCTAGTTCATCATGTAGCGTTTATTTACTCTCTTTTAAAAAGAATTTCTGCCATAAGAAAAGCTGCATTTAGAAATATACATATAAAAATGTAATAAATGGGATTATGACTAACATCACATATTTTTTAATGAATTGATGATATATACATGCAGGTTGTTTCAAGAGACAGTTATTTATCAGATTTATAAAAGAAGAAAAACATTGCATACTCATACATCATCTAAAATTCTTATTAATAATTTGTTGAAATGCCTCTCAAATTGCTATTTTTTTTATACCCCAGCCATATTCCGTTAGACCATGAGAGCTTTTAGGATGGCATGTTGTCCATGTGCATATGCTTCTTTTGCCTATCAGATGTTCCTAAGTGAATATGGTGCCATTTGGACATCCAATATGGCTGTCCTGAAAAAAAATTCTTCTTGTCACATTTCTTCCTCAATAGATGGTCCTTATGGCATCGGGTTTTTTTTACCAAAAGTCATCTAGATGGTCCTAAATGAAAATGATGCCAATCTGACATCCAGTACAGCCACATTGGTAGCCATTTTGAAAATCTTGTTATAGCTACCCCTAACTAAGAGGTCATAAAAACATAGTGTTTTCATTAGTAGTCTTAAGAATTTTTTATTGGTCTTAAATGAACATGGTCTGTTCAAACAGCCAATATTGTTATGGTGGTCATCTTGAAAATCTTGTTAATGCTACTTCTCTTGAATAGATAGCCATATTGACATGGTGTTTTCACCAAAGGACTTCTTATGATATGTAGCAGGGCCTAAAATGAAAATAGTGTACATCCATTATTGATGGTGGCTATCTTGAAATTTTTGTTGATATTGCATCTCCAGAATGGCTGGTCATATTGACATGAGATTTTGACTAAAAATCTATTATTGTTGAATAGTTGATCCTAAATGAAAATGATGCAAATCTTACTCTCATTATTTCCATCACAGTGGCTAATTTCAAAATCTTATTGCTCAGGAATATCAGAGCTGGTGCCAAACTGAACATTTAAAAAGAAGAAATTGTATATTCTTGGATTCCAGAAGCTCATGGGACTGATATGTAATCATCATGCAAATAAAAGTTAACAAAAAATTTATAATAATATTTAAAGTATATCCCAGATTTAGTGACCTTAATTAAATAGATAAAAATTATTCTGCATATAGAGATTAATGATTGGACAACTAGCAGTATAGTTTCGGCAAAGAAAAACTGGAGGAGATATTTCCTACAGGGCAAGAAGATTTGTAGACTTTTTGCATTCCCTGTATATTTAAGATAAGGTTTACTGACACTATGATGTGCATTGTAAAGCATTTCTTCACAGAACTTGATATTTTTAAAATATGGTTTATAAATTTGTTTACCACATTGTCTGCTGTGCAGGCAGTGAAGGTTTATATGTAAAAAGTCAGAGAAGTTGTAAAATTAAGTCTATTTTTATCATCCATACACATGAAAAAGAAATGATTATGGTAAATATTTCAGAATGACATTTGTTTATACTGTACTAGGTTAACTGATCAAAAGTTGTAAATATTTTTTTGTCTGTTGACCATCATTAACTCCTAGCTTAAATTCACCAATAATTTTAACATTTCTACAATAAATCCTGTCATTACCGCTTTGGTGGCGTAATGGTTAGAGCATCCACCTCTGATGCGGGAGATCGCAGGCTCGAACCCTACTGAGTCATACCAAAGACTTATAAAAATGGTGATAACACTGTCTCAATAGAAGCTCAGCATTAAGAGATTAGTGTTAGGACTGGTCGGCCTGGTATCAGGATAATGTGACTGGGTGGGGCATCATGTTATATGTCTGCAGCATGATGCCCGAGTTCTAGACATCACTATAAACTGTGACACAGCAGATATTGTAGCGATAAGACTGAAAAAGCTACATTAAAAATCGAAATTTCACATGCATACACACAAACAAATAAAATCCTATCATTGAGAACATTTAATAGACTACATTTTCCCATCAGGACATTTGTTTAAAGGTGAAATATGCTAGTCAGAAAGCGAGGTTCATAAGGACTTGTCCTTTATATATTATTTCTATTGATGTATCAACTATTGTAGGTTACACTATAGTACAACCCTTTTTTCCACTGTATCTTTGAGAAATAAAATAGAATAATCTAACCATCCCAAAAGAGTCATAAAGCTATATCCAATTGCAGTAAGTCAGAGGTTGCGAGAGAAAAAGTATCTATGTTGAGAGGTGGACTTAGTGGATGCAAGCTAAAATAACCAGAATTATTTATATATATATATATATATATATATATATATATATATATATATATATATATATATATATATATATATATATATATATATATATTGCAAAGTATTGGTGTACAATAGAATGTTATCAAACTTTCATGTTTTACGTTTTTCTGATTTATTTAAATTAGCACCCATTTGAGTAATGCATTGTCTTCCTCAGTGACTTCTGATCTATTACAAAGAGATGTAACTCTTAAATCACCTCAGAAATTAGGGTGTCATTGTTTTGGTTTTGGGATTAATGCAAGTATTATTTTTGGTAATGTTCATTAGAGATTTTAAAATTACAAAGTTTAATACTCTTTATTGTTAAATATTTTTAAAAGTGTCTAATTCATGTGTCACTTTTATAATAAACCTGTAAGGACTGCATTCTTTGCACATTTGAGTTTTTAATTAATATTTGATTTTAAAATGGATACTTAATAATGTATGTAATATTGAACTATGTTATAAATGTGCTTAAGTTGACAATTTTTACCACTGTATGACTAATGTTTTTCAGTTTAATACTATCTTCTCATTTTGTTCATGCACTCATTACAGGAATTTAAACCTCGAATTAGAAATCAACCAGCTAAAACCTTTTCAGAAATCTTTAATGTTGTTCATTATTCTGTCATAGTACATGTACAAAAACAATTCATTTAAACATTGCTTGTTATTGTTGGGGTAATTCTAGACTGAACTGCAATGACTGATGTAATTTATGTTTTGAAACATATGCTAGCTAATTGTTGTTGCCATTAAAAAATGTTTCTTCATCAGCATCTTTGAATCTCATTTGTCCAAAGAAAATGATTATTGGGTACCAAATGTTCTTTTTATTTTAGAAATTATTTCATTGTAGTTCAGATGTGTTGCAGGACAAAAAGAGATTACATCCAAGAAAAGTGTTACTATTATATAAAGTGATTTTAAAAATCCACATAATGATGATTAATATTTTCATCCAGATCATAATGGTCAATATTGTCTTCCATATAATGATGGTTGGGATTTTCATCCACATTATGATGTTCATTAATGTCTTCCACATTATGGTGTTCATTAATGTCATCCACATTATGGTGTTCATTATTGTCATCCACATTATGGTGTTCATTATTGTCATCCACATAACGATAGTCAGGATTTTCATCCACATCATGGTGTTCATTATTGTCATCCAAACAATGATGGTCAATATTGTCATTAGTATTTAAGGACAAGTTATGTTTTTTTTTAAACATCCTTCTTTTCAAAGAGTCATAAATATGAAACAAATGCTTTGTTTCTTTTTATATTACTTGCACGACATGGAATTGTTTTTTGTTGTGATAAGCGAGAGTGAATGTTGGCACATAGAGTGATATTTTATTTTAAGATTTTAGGCTGAAATTATACGCCTTTGATGTGAATCCATATTTAGAATTGTTCACAACCCATGATATTCCTTTAATGTGAATCATTTTTTAGAATGATTCACAACCCATGATAGATTAGACATTTATATTCCTTATAAGTATGAAACTTGGTATTACTACTGAAAAATTTGGGTCAATTTTCTAAATTATGTTAATTTAGTTGTCACTGAAAACTCTTATGATTTTTAGCAATATTAATATCATTGCAAAACAAATAGCAATACATCACTTTTTATTGACAAATCAGGTTAACCGTTTCAGATGTCTCATTAACCAAAAGATACAACATTGTTGACACAAGGTTGTAAACTTTTGCCTTGTCCAGAGGTATAACTAATTTATTATGTTTGATATTGTTCTTTTACATACTGTATACACATTAATATTTTTGAAGACATCCTGGCATTTTTTAATCTCAGAGTTCTTTGGATAATGATGGTTGGATTAAAATCTTTTTCAAGTTTATTGTTAAATTCTGATGTCCAAAAGTGATGTATTAGTTATTATTGCAGGACAAAATGGGATACTAAATTAAAACTTTGAAGAAATCATAAGTTTATAATAGGAATATAAAGTTGAGATAAAGTTACTGATAACATCGATAAATTTTAATTTTGACCAATACGATAAATATAGTATACATATTGTCTAAATTTTCCACACTAACATTTTGATATTCCTATAGAGGAGAGTATATATGAATCCCTATAGAGGCGGGGGTATATATGAATCCCTATAGAGGCGGGGGTATATAGGAATCCCTATAGAGGAGGGGTATATAGGAATCCCTATAGAGGAGGGGGTATATAGGAATCCCTATAGAGGAGGGGGTATATATGAATCCCTATAGAGGAGGGGGTATATTGGAATCCTTTTATTATATGTTATTCTGTATGGAACACAGTCTCATTAGCATCAACTAGTCCCACCAGTTTCTGATGGATTGCCTTAAATCTTTTGCAGTAAAACCTGGCACATAATATGGTTATCACCTGAAGATATGAATAGAAATTACTTTTTCACATATTTTTAAGAGTTATTGCCCATTCATTGGTTCTTCTGAACAACTTGCATTTTTTCCAGGATTAAAGTGTAACTTAGTATATATTATGGTCATCCCTAAAGATGCACTTATTTACAAATATTATTGCTCCTTTGATTTTGTAAAAGCTATTCTTATTTGACTCTATTTTTATAACTGACTTTGAAATTGTATAGAAAATATTAGGTGTTTTATAGGGGAATGTTATCTGAGCCACATTATTGCATTTACAAGGTTAATTATATAGTTGGTGCTATATTTTTATTTCAAAGATAAAATGATTTGAAGTTCTACTTTTCACATGCCTGAATATGTAATTGTTAAATAATATTGTAAATGTATCATGTAACTTTGGTAGGATTTATAGTATATACGAATAACATGAATTCTGAAGATTACTTGATGGCACAGTTTTACATGTGAATAATGTAAATTCTAAAGACTTTATGTTTGATGACATTTAATTTAGTTAAGTTTAGGTTTTACTCATCACAAATTTACTGATTATCAGGTTTTGGCAGGTACAGTGTACAGTTGTACAGTGTACAACTTTTGACTTGACTATTTAAATTCTATTTATTATGTATCAGTACCTTAACTACTGTAATTATTGTTCATAATATGTTTATTTGTCATGTTTAAAGAATGTGTTAAGTATTCCAGTTACAGTTAGCATTAATGCTCATTTCTTAAAAGATGTTATGTATGTGAAAGTAGTTTAAAATAAATGTATATGAAATAAAATCAAGGATATATGATTGACAAATAGCCTTGCTATGTCTAATATATTCAAGAATATTTTTTACCCCAGTTTACCCCCCATCTGACCAAACTCCATAACCATTCCCATCTCTCTCTCTCTCTCTCTCTCTCTCTCTCTCTCTCTCTCTCTCTCTCTCTCTCTCTCTCTCTCTCTCTCTCTCTCTCTCTCTCTCTCTTTCTTGTTTATAATCCCTCTTGTGTGTGTGTGTGTGTGTGTGTGTGTATTCGTTCCATAAATTCCTGGTTCGGACATTATTTTCCAATAATGGGGGGGTAGTTCATCATTGTGCTTTTAGAAGAATCATTCCAGATTTTAACCTTAGATTACAACATTCAGATTTTCGTTTCAAATAATATTCTATATACTGTATTTAGAGTATGTATTCAGACAGCAAAAATGCAAATTTTTTACCATTCAAAAGCATTAAATTCCTTAATTTTGGTGTCTAAATGCAAACGGAAAGATAAATTTGACCTGACCATAATGAGATTATTGTTGGCTAATGTGCTGCCATTGCTTCAAAAATAAAATGATTTGATGTTCTACTTTTCAAATATATTAGTTAAATAATATTGAAAATGTATCATGTAACTTTGGTTGGATTTGTTACTTAGTCTAACATATGAATAAAATAAAATTTGAAGATTTTACATTATTTAATAACAGTTCTACAATTGAATAATGTAAATTTGGTAGACTTAAGATTATTTGATGACATTTAATTTATAATTTTATTAGTTAAGTAAGCAAGATTGTACTCATCACGAAGTTACTGATTATCAAGCTTTTGACATGTACAGTTAAAACGTTTGACTTATTTAAATGTTATTGGCAGGTACAGTTAAAACGTTAGACTTTCTATTTAAATGTTCTTTGCCATCTGTCAGTATTAGCATTATGCTATTTTCATTTTATTTTCCTAATATGCTGAATGTTGCAATATTCAGTTTTGCAATTTCCATGTGTGTGGGATTTGCCAATATATATTACTGACTTTCTTTGGTATGACATTATATTTGCATGACATTACATTTGGTATGACATTACATTTGGTATAACATTACAATAATGCGATTTTGTGTGTCTTCAGATTCCATCTGAGTGATTCTATGTGCATTTCTAATATTACACATATTAAAAGCCTCAAAAATGTGCCTTTGCAATTGACACATGCTATTTTATAACACTTAAGTATTAC